CCACCAAAGTACCAGACATGTAAGTAAAACCATCTTGGATCTTGTGATCAGCACATCTGCCACCTAAAATTTATGAAGTGACCTCCACAGATATCTCATCAAACAAATCTAGCCAAGCCCTGCCTATACTACTGATCCAAAAAATCATGAAATGTAATAGAACAGTTGCTGTTTTAAGTCACACAGACTCTGAACATCAAGCTATATGTGAGTGATGATTAGAGATTATCAAATAGGACATAACCATTTTATAATAGGGAAAAAATCCTATTTGTGTTAGCTCTCTTCTGCTGGCAAAAATCCATAGTAATAAGACTACTCTACTATGCCAGCAACTCTGAAGTATTCTGAATTAAGTTTGTTGGAATCTACTGCTATAATTAGGTTCTTTCCATATTGGTAAAATAACTGATTGTAGCAAAGCGTCATTTAACTTATCTGGGCCCATGATACAGAAGCTCTCAGCTTAAGGAGGGGAAAAAAAAAAAAGAAGGATTCAGCTTATTAGAGATCTTCCATTCTTCCTGACTCAATTCATACTGCATATCCTCATTCTGGTTCTTTCTCTCTTGCTCGGTCTAGTGTGAGCTACACCTCCATTATTCCTCTTTTACTATTTCAACCAAGGCCCTAAATAAATACCTTTATTCACATATCTTAATCTGGAATATGAAATGTTTTTCTTGCTCTCTTTGTATTCTCCTTGAGCAAAAGCCACGATTATCCCCAATTATCCCAGAAACCAATAGCTTAACTGAGTTGCTACCTCCTCACATAACCACGGGCTGAGAAAGATGAGAATACTCTTGTTAAAGAGTCCAAGATCCCCATGACTCAGAGATCTATAAAAAATCTTGTTTTTAAGTATTCTAAGTATCCACTTTAATATCAAATTTTAATCTTCCAGCCTTTCATTTTGCCAAAGGCCTTTTGTACTATGGCCTCTTGTTGCACTAAGTTCTCAAAATGAAACATCCTACCTTAAAAAATCACAAAAGGTGAGAACTATAAGATTAAAGTTTAGAATTGTATGATGTATCTATAGAAGTGTAGATAAATGGGAAAAAAAACAATCTAATTGAAAATGTCACAATTACCACTTATACAAAGAAACGGGAAAAAAATGCAAGCTGATTAAGGTCTAACATTAATAGAAAAACTGCTCTGTTCACCTCCATACATTTCTTATCTACTGTGTGTAAAAGAAATCCCATTTTAAAAATACCCAGAGCACACATTTAACAAAAATACTCCCTAAGAAGCTCCTTTTTTCCAATCATATCTTTCACTGTGCCTCCCTCAAAGCCAGCTATTATCTCTCTGTATGATTCTCCAATAAACATTAATTTTAACACTTTTAAGTAAGTGTGGAAGGCAGCCTCCAAGATAGCCCCCAATGATTTCTACCTCCTGGTATTTGCACCTTGTATGGTACCCTCCAGCCATGTACCAGGACAAAAGAAATGAAGTATCTCTTCTAAGATTGGGTTACAAAAGATTGTGGCATCCAGCTTAGGCTCTTGCTCTCTCCTATCACTCATTCTGGGGGAGGCCAGTTGCCATGTCGTGAAAACACTTAGGAAGCCATGTAGAGAGGCCAACATGGCAAGAAATGAGATGTCCAGCCAACGGACATGTGAGCGAGCCTTCTTGAAAATGGATCCTCCAGCCCCAGGCAAGACCTCAGCCAATGCAGCTCCAGCTAAAATCTTGATTCAAACAACATTTTGAGATATCCTGAGTCAGAAACATCCTACTCAGCTGATTCAAGATTCCTGATCCCCAGAAACTGAGATAAAACATGTTTTAAACCACTATGTTTCAGTGTAATTCGTTATACAGCAATGTATAATTAATACAATGAGCACTGCCTAATCTCAAAAACCAAATTCATGTTTTAATAGTTAAAATATATATATAAGTAGAAATAGTAATTGCAAAAATTGGGAGACAAACTCATTTTTAAAATCTTAGCTAAAATTGAAAGGCAACTGTAATGTCAGTTTGCCAGTCCTGCTTATAAAAACAATGAACCAACAAAGTACCATCAGGAAAATATGGACTGCTTCTGGAAGAACAGAGATCAGGATGACCAGGTACACTGGGTACACAACATCAACTTTTTTAAAATTGGGAAGGAAATCATTTTGTAATTTAAAAATCATAATATCTTATTTAACTACGATAAGACATCCCACAAAGCTTGCCTTATCTATTTAGAATCATGCAAAGCTTTATCTTGTCACAGACCATATCATATGCCTACTGATAAACACATATGAAAGATAAGGGCAAATGTACCAAATTTCAATGATAGATTTCACAGCCGTATCAAAGCATAGATGATTTTTTTTTCCTGTAATGTATCCACACCAAATTCAAAAATGCTTTCAACCATACAAGCACACATATTCTTTCCAAGAACACATAAGATTTCCTATAATAAGAAACTCCTTTTATCATTATTTATTTAATTAGAAAATGCATTTAAAACCCACACACTTAGTTGGGTATTTAAAAACATTCAAAAAGCAACAATAAAAGAAAAAAATGGGAGTTTTTCATTTGTCTGATTGGGGAAAAAATGATTTCAGTGATCTCCATAGGAACTGTATGTACTGATACTGAACACAATAAGGAACCCGAAGACTGTACTAAAAATTAAAGTAGCATCATCAATAAGTGTCATTTGAGTCAATGGGCAATAATTTAGTCATCAATACTGGCATAAATAGTTGACAGAACTTTGAAAAATCTTTAACTTATGAACAGGAAATAAGCATTTGATTGCCACATTGTTTCCTATAATTTTGCCAGTTTATTTTGAACAAAGACAAATTACTAATTTCTCTCTCATATAACTTATATACTTATTAAGTTTAATTGATGCTAACTGATCTCCACTTACTGGTGTTTATAGGTCATTTACAAAATATTTAAAACCATGTCAAATTTAAAATTATCTTCATTGGAAAATGCAGCGTCTCTACTGCAATACTACTGCCATGTGCTAAAACAATAAGGTACAAGGTAAAATTTATCCAGTTGTATCACAGGACTTGCTTTTCCAGAATTGTCATAAAATTACATTAATAGGGCCCTGCAAACTTGTCACAATGTTAACACAGAAGAATTTCCAAGAAATTACTTAGACAAGGCCAAATGTATGTTCAAAGAATGTTGCCCATGGAGAAAACATTTCTAAAATTAACGTTACAGCATGTTTGACGGCCTATATTGTTTTCTCAGGAGCACCATTTTAGAATTGAATATTTTAAAACCACACAATGAGTACAAACATACTCTACACATATGCTAGTATTCGATCATTGCTTCATATCCTGGCATGATTACACACTTAATAACTGAACTGATTACGGTGTTACATATTTTCCCTAAAAGCACTGTGCACAGACCGTATCTAGAATACCCAGTACTGTAAATTGATCCACAATTCCTGAACGTAGGGGGCGGGGGGGGGGGGGGGGGGAAGGGCAGTTCAAAGGCACAACCAAGAAAAAAGTTTCCAAAGAAGCAGTATAGGTAAGTCAGGCTTATATGACCTTCCTTCATTACTGTGCAGAGGCCAAAGAAACATTTTCAAGTGCCTCTGGCAAATCAAATGCCATGTTCCAATCAACGTACTCTAAACCTAGGCGCCACTCGGGATCCCTGGTTGGCGCAGCGGTTTAGCGCCTGCCTTTGGCCCAGGGCGTGATCCTGGAGACTCGGGATCGAATCCGATGCCCACATCGGGCTCCTGGTGCATGGAACCTGCTTCTCCCTCTGCCTATGTCTCCGCCTCTCTCTCTCCCTCAATGTGTGACTATCATAAATAAATAAAAAATTTAAAAAAATAAAATAAAAAATAAACCTAGGACTCTATGGGATGTTTATGTATCTATCAACTTTGGGGAGGGAGGTAAACTTTTTTAAAAATGTCAAAGACATCAGAATGTAATATAAAATAATGCATTTTGTCTGTCTTATGTTTTTCACCTGTACTACCGTATTTAAATCGCAAAAATATCTTAAGATGGAATTAATCACTTACTCCTTTCATCCTTTTGATTTTCTATATTCTTAGCTTTTTCACCTGCAGTCAAGTTCAGACCTACAGCATTCCGCACCGGTTTTAAAAATATCCTATTTTAACATGTCAACTTAAAAATAGCCTTGCTTTCACCGTTCCACATTACTTTAAAGCTGAAGTCTGCTTTTTGTTGTAGAGCCACAGATTCCCAGAAAAATACCTTCTTATTTATACTTCATTCTTTCAACCTCTGGGGAAACAACAAAAACTGGAGTTTAACTTGTGCAGGGCCGAACTTTATCGACAGGAGCTTGCAAGTTAGGTACCGGCAGTTGTTGGTTTGATCCATCCTTGCCGTTTCCCAGGACAATGTTTCATTTGGCTGCTTCGTTTCATACAACTAGATGGGTGTGCAGACACACAGCGGAGAGCGTCTCTGCCTTAGGAAGCCGTGCCCCCCCCCCTTCTTTTGGACACCCATACATCGTGGTCTGATGACCTTTCAAGAAAGTTTCTTCCTGCCTCTCGGGGTTCGCAGGACTTTTCCATGAGGCAGGCACCGCATGCCACCTGCGTAGCTGCACGTTCACAAGAAAGCAGCAAGGGCTTGGGGGGTGGGGGGTGGGGACAGGAGGGCACACGACAAATCAAAGCGCCTTCAAAACAGTATCGGTGGACAATGTGGGCGGAAGCTCGGCTTCTGAGGCTGAGGAGGAACCAGCCGAGCGTCGGGGCCGGCTGCCGGGCACAACCTGCGCCTGTCCTACCTGCGCCGGGGACGCTCAGGAGGCGGAAAGCCGCCCCCTCCCACGCCCCGCACGACCCCGCCCCCTCCCACGCCCCGCACGACCCCGCCCCCCCCGCCCCGGACGTCCCGGGCTCGAGGCCAGGGGCGCTCCCCCCGCGCCGGCTGCGGCTGGCGACGCCGGGCCCCCGGGCTCGCCGCTCGGCTCGCGCGCGCCCTTACCTTGGGCGATGGCAATGGACTCGAAGCGGTGCAGCTCCTTGAGCAGGCAGCTCCTCTCGGTGGAGTGCAGGCTGTAGATGAAGTCGCGCGCGCCCTGCGCCGTGTTCAGCGCCTCCATGGGCTCCTTCTTGGGGTGGGTGCCCAGCGCCCGGGAGCCGCCGGGGGCCGCGAGCGCCAGCAGCCCCCGCCCGCAGCAGCACCAGGAGGGCGGGCGGGGCGCGGCGGCGGCGGCGGCGGCGGCGGCGGCGGCGGCCGGGCCCGGCCTCAGGCTGCGCGCGGTCCGGCTCCTCAGCAGCGGCAGCAGCCGGGACATGGCGGGCTGAGGAGCGGGGACCCCCGCGGCAGTCCGGGACGGCGATTTCTGGCCGGGCAGCGGAAGCAGCAGCGCGGCTCAGCCCGACCCCGCCCCGATGTCCTCCTGACTGGCGGCAGGGGCGCCGGGCACCATGCGCTCCCCGGGCCGGCGCGGCGCTTCCCTTCCGAAAGGCTCCCGGCGGCTCCGGTCCCCCCGACGAGAAAAACTTTCTGTGAGGCGGCGGGGCCCGGAGAGGGCGGGTGGGCGGTGCGGGCGGGCGCCTCCCGGCTGCGGAGGGGCGGCGCGGGCGGGCGGGCGGGCTTGGCGAGGGTTTGTCTCCGTCAGTTTGAGCTTCCAGAGGATGAGTCAGCCTCGCGCCGCCCTCCCTCGGCGCCGCCCTCCGCTCCCGCCGGCTTTCCCACCCTCCCGCCCGCCTGCCCTCGGCCGCGCTCCGTCGGGCTCCCGCGCCCTCAAAGCCGCCGCGCGCTCAGGCCGCAGCCTCTGCCGCTACCCCTAGCGGCCGTGCGGGGCTTAGCGGGGCGGGGCGACGGGGCGGGGCGACGGGGCGGGGCGACGGGGCGGGGCGACGGGGCGGGGCGGGGCCGCGCAGGCGCAGTGCCGAGCTCGGGTACGAGCGTGCACGGGAGTCCCCGCCCCCCCGCCGGGGCGTGACGGTGGAGGAGCCGAGGCCGCGCATCCACCTGCGCCGCTTTAAGTCCAAGGCTGGGAGCAGGGAGGAACCGCTCCGGACTTCTAGCTCGGCGGTGGTGCCGCTGCCACCGCTCCGTCCCTAGCACCAGGCCTAAACGTGGGGCTTGTTCTGAACAGTGCCCCAGCCTGCAGCGCTACCCCCTCTACCCGCCCCCCCGCCAGCCCGGGCCTCGCCCCCCGGGGGGCAGCGTCCTGCTCAGGCTTTTGGGGATTGAAGCGCCCACCGTGGCCTCGGCCAGGCACTCCGGGCTTTGAGGCACCTGCACTGGGAGCTCCAAAGGGAAGGCAAGGACAGGGATTTGAGACTGAGGCCTTCACACCGAAAATACGCTTCCTCGTCCTGATGCCAGCAGCTTGCAGATTGTTAATGCTGGAGCGAGAGGCAAGGATGTCACAGATCTTTTCCGGGTGCTTGCCAAGGTTTGTTTTTGTTTTTCTCTTTGCCAAGGCGAAAAGAATTCTTGTGATTCTCCACCGTTTCCAGCGTGTCCAGGTCCTGGACATCTTTTAGAGCCAAGCTCAAAGGGCCTCCTCCTACCCTAACCTTTCCTTTATCTCCTCCTAAGGAAGGCGATCTCTCCTTTATCTGAACCTAATTACACTTAGGCTTCCTGCCTTAGAGAGTAGATCCACTTAGAGAGTAAATCTGCTCAAGCACAATCAAGATCTAAATCTTACCCTTATCTTATCCGCTGCTGCACCAGCCCAAGACCTTGTATGTAGTAAATGTGCTAGAATCATGTAAGTACAATATATAAATGTGAGTCAAGGGAGGAATGTTACCACTAAGTCATCCTACTGCTCTAAACCAGAGGTTCTCAAATGTGGTTCCCGGACAGCAGAACTTGTGAAGCGTGCAGATTGAGGTAGTATCCTGTAGACTCCCTGAATCAGGAGCTAGGGGTTGGGCCCAGTCATCTCTGTTTTAAGCAGCCCTCCAGTTAATAGTGACGCACACAGAAGTTTGAGAAGCACTGCTCTAACTTAAACATGAAAAGCATTTAAAAAAATTTTCAAAGCAGCTTCTCTAGTGTCATAATTACAGTTAAGAATGCTTTGTGAGGGGTGCCTGGCTGGCTCAGTTGGAAATGCATGTGACTCCTGATCTTGGGATAGTGAGTTCAAGCCCCACCTTGGATGTAGAGATTACTTAAAAGGGGGGGGGGGCTCTGTGGAAAATGAAGTTGGGGATAGAGACTTGTGTCTTTCTTGTTTTTGAAACCCTCTACATCCCCATTGTGTGTTGGAATCCTCTGCAGTTACCTCAGTCTCAAATTCTTGGGATTGCCACCACCTTCTCTTCTCTATCTCTTACCCCCAAGGGATTCTGACTCATTGGACTTGGAGCAGGGCCTGGGAAGTGAGGTTTGGAAAAGCTACACATTAAGAACCCTTTCCTAACAGTCTTTAGGACACCAGTTTTGTGGGTGGGTTCCAGAAATAGATTGCTGAAAGTTTGACAACTGGCTCAACCGTTTTCTAGCTGTGTTAGTGGTAGATTATTACAGTAGTGGTCCCAATGAATCCTGGTTTATGGTATCCATTCCCTTGTGTAGACCTGTCCCACGTGGACTGTGGGCTTGGCCATGTGACTTGCTTTTGCCAGTAAGTGGGATATCACAAACCTGATCTAAGTGCTTGCTGGTTAGGGCTTGTTGTAATGTGTTTGTTGGGTGATTTATGATTATTCAAGTCTGCTATAGAAAACAAGATCTGAAATGTAGACACAATTTGCTTATGAGACATTACACCTAAGATAAATGGATATGTGTTGATCATAAATAAAAGTGCTACTTTAGAAAGAGATAGACCAAGTGAACTTTAAATATCAATAAGATAGAGTTTGTATTACCTCTAGACTGACAACTATGTCCTCCCTAAATTGGCCACCTACTAGCAACACGCATTATAGTCCCATTGTGGCCTCCTGTAGTCTGTACAAGAAAAGCAGGTAAACCCCTAGCTACTCAGCCAGCTAATGGCCAGCTACAATTATGACCAGACACAGTTGCTCCTTCATCTCTCTGACAGAACAGGTATATGTTGATTCCAGGCTCCCCATCTCCTACTTTCTTCTGTGGTCCTCAAAACCACACTACCTGCAGAGAAGACTGGCACAGCAGAGAGGTTAGGACACGTGAACATTGTATAAAACAAAATTCAGATACTGTGGCTTTCTACCTTGCTATCCTAAGCTTGTTTATCTATGCATCTCTTTCCCCCTGCTTCCCACTCTGTTTTAAATGGATGGACAAATGGTTTGGGTTACTGTTGCTCTTTAAGTCGACACTTCATGCCAAACTTAGTGGCTTAAATAACCAGTTAATTTTGCTCATAATTTTGCGGCTCAGGAAGTGCTTGCTAGGCACCTCTTTATTAGAGTCTCTTATAACATGTCAGTCGGATGTCAACTAACTACAGCTGCTAGTTGGATACCCAGGATGGCACATTAATGTGGCTGAGGGTTGATGCTGGCTGTAGGCTGGCTGCATGCTCAGCTGGGGCTGTGAACCAATGTACTTTCAACCAGCCCCTCCAGCAAGGCATAACTTCTCATGGTAGCTGGCTTCCCTCAAAGCAAGTATCTGAAAAGAACCAGGCTGATGGGCTTTTCTGACATATCCTAAGAAGTGACATATCCTAGAAGTGAGGGGTGCCTGGGGGGCATAGTCGGTTAAGTATCCAACTCTTGGTTTCAGTTCAGGTCTGATCTCAGGGTGGTGAGATAGAGCCCTGCGTCAGGCTCCGTACTCACTGGGAAGTCTGCTCGAATTTCTGTCTCCCTCTCCTTCTTCCCCTCTGCCCTGCACCCTCACACTCTTTTCTCTATCAAATAAATAAATAAATCTTTTAAAAAAAGTCATGCAGCATCACTTCCACTGTACAGAACTAGCTACCAGCAAGCTACTAAGGCCAGCCAAGATTCAAGAGAACTCAATGGGAGCAATGCCAAGGAATTTGAGAACATGTTTTAAAGCTGCCATATAAACAGTGTAAGTCAAGTGTCTTCATATGGTCTATAAGCCCATCTGTCCTCTGATCTATGGTACAACCTGTGTGGTGGTGTACTTGGAGCCTGCCATTGTATCAAGGTAATTCGCCCTGTGACATTTGCTCTTTGGAATTCAGTTGCCATACATAGAATTCTGGAGTATCCTGCTGGAAAGACCACATGGAAGAGGAGGCAACAGCCAATAGCCCTAGCTAACCACCAGGTATACATATGGGGCCATCTTGGGCCATCTAGTCCCAGTCAAGACCCGGATGACAGCAGTGCAAAGAGGTTAAGCTCATTTGCTCCAGAGCCAGAGTTCTGGGTTTGGGCCCTCACTCCTCCATTTACTAGCTCTACAACCTTGAGCTAATAACTCAACATTTCATGGCCACTCATCTGATGGGCTAAAGGTATATTGCTAAATTTACTCATCTGTTAAATGGAGATAAGGCATCTGCTTTATAGGGTTATAGTGAAACTAAATGAGTTAATACACGTAAAGCATTTCAAACAATACCTGGAATATGATGAGTGCTCAATAAATATTAACTATCATTATCCAAATTCCCAAGAACCTCTCAAACCTCTAGGATTATGTCTTTGAACCCTAATTTGAGAAATATCTACCTAGCCATTTGTCATTTAATACACGTTTAATGTGTACTAACTGGATCCCCTATCCATTCCCTGTCTCTGAACATTTGAATATCGCAAAGAAGAGTAAATGGAAGACATGGGGAGACGAGAGGGCTTGGGGTCTGTGTATAGAGCTATGGAGAAATATAGGTTAATGCAGGTGCATGTGGGTGGCAAGAGGAAGGTCCTGAGGAAATTGTGAGGGTGCTGAAGAAGTAGTGCCAACAAGTTAGAGAAGGTTATGGAAGAAGGAGAGCAGGAGGGCCTGGATTCAGCCTAGCCTGCCCTTCACTTTAAAGATGACAAACATCATGCCTCAGTTAACAGTGACAGTTTCCACCTCATGAAAAGTTGCTGCTGAATCTACAGTCCACAGTAGATTACATCACGCAGGTACTTTCCAGAGTTCCTGGCATCTGTGTTGCTGGCAGGGCACAAGGCTATTTGCTGTGTACATGTTCTGATATGTTACATACCTAGCTATTACTGTCCACTTTAAAATTCCAGAGTTGTTGCTTTACTTAGTGGGAACTTTAATCATTTATCCTGCCCAAATTTTGTAGTTCCCTTTTCGTACTTCTTATCCCTCAGTTTCCCACCTTAGTATTTATGACCCCTGGAACTCCTCAGCACCATCAGAATTAAGGTACATAGATTGTTGCTTCATAATGAAAACCGCAAAGGCTGATTAGAAAAATTAAAGAAGATTTAAATAAATGGAGAGAAATACCAATTAAAGTTTGGAAAATGCAAAGTAAAAGATGTCTGTTCTCCCTGAATTAATCTATAAATTCAGTGTAATCTCAATCAAAATCCCAGCTGGGGATTTTGTGTCTCTGTATGTGTGTCATGGTCAAACTGGTAGTAAAATTTACATTGAAATGCAAATGGAGGCCATAGAACATACAGAAACGTCATGGGTTCCCCTGAATTAAAATTCTAACTCTAACACCTACTCACTATATCAAGACAAGTTTTTTTTATCTTTCTACGTCTTGTTTTGAGTTTCTTGTTATTTCTTAAAATCTACCCTAAGAATCATGAGGATAAAATGAAATCATGTATGCAAGACACATGGCAAAATATCCAACATGTAGTATGTACTCAACAAATAATAGGTAGTATTAAAAGACATTAAGATTTAAAAAATAGTGTTAGCAATAAACAGTATATCTAGAAGTGTCAGAGGCCCATGTAACTTTAAAGCTAAAGAAAGAGAATCCAACTAGATCTCTATTTTCTCAACATTCCTATATCAATATTTGTCAGCATTCCACCTCCTTGCAATCCAGCTTCCAAAGGACAAAGCTGGAAATAGAAATTTGAGAACCACCAGCATCCAGGTATCCTTTAAAGCTATAGAATTGGCCAAGTTCCCATTGGGGTAAGAATAGAGATGAGGAGAGGGTCTGGGGCCTACCTGGGACTCTTCACCCCTGAGAGACTGGAAGAGGCAGAGGAGCCAGCAAGGTAGGAGGAAAATCATAGGATGGTGGTGTTTATTATCCTCCTTTCTGTTCACATCATTAGTGGCCTGGAACAATATTCATTAGTAGAATACTGGTCGTTATTATTCTTGGGATATTGGATTTTTTTTTTTTACTTTTTCCTTTGCACTTGTATCTGTTACTTGAATTGTTTATGGTAAATGTATATAATTTGTTTTCAAAAACAAAGCTTTTATTAAAGAAAGAAACTACAGAACCCCTGAGACATATAAAATAAACCCTGAAGGGACAATCTGTCTTTTGGATCCTCTGCATTCCTCTATACCAGTCATTTAATACTA